TGCATCACCCTGTTGTGTTTTTCAAATTCAACACAAGGCTTTGCAATAAAAATATAAAAGAAAAAATTATTTGGTGTTGCCGGTTTGAGTAAAGCGTTCACAAAAATGAAGTTGGTTAGGTAAATATAATTACGAATATATTAGTGTTTCTGATTTTTTTTGTACATAAACAGAAGTTAAAATATTATCTGCAAGTTCAATATGAAACCAGAATTGCATATACTGCCTGTAACGCACCAAAGCGTGTTGTGAATTTAGCAAGCGGCGGGAACGTTTTCGGAAGTTGTCGCACAACGACATTTAAGCATGCTCCAAACGTTTAACTCATAGAAAAAATAAATAGAAATTTACATATATCGTAAATAGCTTGAATGATTCTTGGCAATAACAAATATTAATAAAAATTAATTTTCGCAGTTTGTTTTTTACCCAGCAAATTCGAATAATATCCCTAATCTCTTTTCAGATTTCTCATGAAACTAAGTCACGAAACGGTGACCATCGAATTGAAGAATGGTACCCAAATCCACGGCACAATCACAGGAGTTGATGTTGCAATGAATACACATTTGAAGTCTGTCAAAATGACAATCAAAAATAGGGACCCAGTACAATTGGAATCTCTCAGTATTCGCGGTAACAATATACGGTATTTTATACTTCCTGATAGTTTACCCCTCGAAACACTGCTCATCGACGATACACCGAAATCTAAAACGAAGAAGAAAGATAGTAGTCGCGCAGGTAATCGTGGCAGAGGACGCGGTACGCGTGGTCGCGGTGGTCCACGGGGACGTGGGCGTGGAAGAGCTTCTGGTAGACGATAAGTTTTTATAATACTATGCTGGATTAAAATAAAATAGAAAAATGAAATAAGGAAACTGGATCTTTGTTAATCGCACAGTATAACATATGTGACCTGGTCTACGAAAAGGGAGCTTAAGTGCGAAAACTAGTTTTCTGTGAAAAAGCTGTTAAAAGTAAGCAACTCGTTTCGTTTACTCGTTTTTACTCTTCTTTCTCTACATTTTTAGTACACTTCTAAGCAAGTTAGGATTTTCTGCTTTTCCCCACGTGAAAAAGCATCTCATCTTCCATCCGAATCAACCAAAAAGTGAAAATTGATTTTTTGACACCTAAGCCCCCTTTCCGTAGACCAGGTCACATATTTCGTTTAGAGAAGATTGGAATTGGAATTTTTAATAACGAAAGTCTAATACCATGCGTAAAATATCCTGTACATAGTAAATACGCATAAAATAATGAATATTAAGATCGTAATTACAGCCATTTGGTGCGATTTATCTTTATGCATTGCTTTAACGTTTTCCTTGTGTTTAATAATTTCTGCTTTCAGTGCCAAAATCTCTTCTTCGATTACATCACGTAACGTAGGATCTATGTCAGGACCATCGAGTGCATCTTCTAGCCCACGAATTCTATTTCCCAAATATAATATCTTGTGCTCTACACCATCTACCTAAAACCGAATACAAAAAGGAATAACGAATGTTTAAAAATATGCAATTGTAAATATTTAAGTAAAATACGTACTTGTTCTTTTAAACTACAAGTCCCAGGGTAATGTAAAGGTCGGTGGCGGAATTCCATATTAATT